ATACGTTGCCCAGGGTGCACCACGAGGAGGTAAGTCTATTTAAGCGAACTCCAGCTATACTTGTTACTTATTTATCTTTAGTAGGTTATCATGAGGTATCACAAATGGGAAAACGCATTACTTGTTGGTAGCCCATCGGTTTAAAAATAAGTAGCAAAATAGTTGAATCGACACGCCTTAACTCCCCACTCATCTTTATTCAATACAACACCGGATTTAAATTCAATCTTGCTCATTCACCCTCTATCATCTTTAGAGATTTTTTTAATAAATTGTTGATTTCATTAAAATCCCAGGCTGCTGATTTTTGAATGGCAGACCACATCTCTTAGCTCTTAGTCTTCTATAAAGAAATTTAATGCATAATATCAATTAGAATTCATTAGAATTACTCTCCACGAATTCCACTTATGATTGGTAGGTAAGAATATATGCCCTCTTTCTTGATTATCGTCGGGTATAGATAAATAGATTAAACCTCCACGAGCATAAAAAATGCTTCCGCCTTTTGAAAGTCATCTTACTCTATTACTCCCATCCCCATCTCACAAATTTTGGTCTATTTTCGAAGGCGCGTAAAAATAGTGTTTTATACATAAATATATCTTAACGTATACAATTTATCGCCTCAAAAAACACTGGCGAAATTAGACCAAATGCTTAATAGTAATCGTTAAAACAAAAATATAATACCATACCTTCCTGCACCTGGATCCTCAAGACAGCGATCATGTTATTGTCTAAAAATTTTAAAATCAAACAAAAGACTTATTATAAATAGCAAAATACAAAAAATACATGAAAAATAGGTTGCTGAAGTTTCAAAATTCGGATCACTTTCACTCGTCATTGGTCAATCGTATGAATGCGAGTATAATTTACTTATCGATATTTACACAATCATGACTAAAAGTACTTCAGTCATGTTGTGTAACGCAAAATGTCTGCGAGGTCTCCTCATTTTCACAAATTTCATTATTTTTGTAAGCCACTGGTCATTTCTCTCTGATTCCTCTTAGATTGCTGGTGGTGTCGTTTCGGGTATTGGAATGTTTCTTTTGATAAAATCGAATGAATTAAGACCTACGAACGCAGCCTATGCTATTCCCATTTTCATCACAGTTTTGGGATTTGTGGCTCTTGTGTTTGGATTCTTGGGCTTCCTTGGAGCAATCAAACTCAACAAATGCCTACTGATGATGGTTCGATTTTTTTGATATTCTTCATGAAATTTTCATAATTAAGTTCATTATTGTAGTAGGAATAACAATTGCTCTTGAATTCACTGGTGGAATATTACTTATTGTCTACAGTGAGAAAGTGGGCCTCGGATAAGGTGAAATTGGCTATTCACTTCAATATATGAAATCAGCTCTGCAAGACTTCTTTACTCAAATCATAGAAGTTGAAAAACAAGCAGATTTTGGGAATAGGAGTCGTAATAAAAATAGCATGGAAGATGGTAAGCTGAAATTTTCATTGGGCTGACATTATTTTAATTCAACTGTTATGAAGCTTATGGATCTAACTATTGAGAAAAAACTCAGATTCGATATTGTAAAGTGACGAAGTTTTTTGCCTAATTGATCTTAAATGAAAATATCTACTTTAGGTGAAAATGCTTTGAGGTGCAGAAGAAGAAGGATACTGAGTTTCAGCGAAAATTCGGTAAATCGAACAGACGTTACTCAATAATATAAAGCTAGGAATAACGAAATATTCGTGTCTATATATTTTTTTCGAATTTGATTTAATAATTGCCAATTATATTTCATCTAAAGTTATCAAACAAAATAAATTTGAATAGCGAGGAAATTATTTAAATAGAAACGTTTCTCATAATTTGGTGTAAATATTTAAAAGTTTGTATCCATTTTTTACTGAAAATTAGAGATATATATCTTAAAAATAAATTACCTTCCTCAAAGCCAGTCAAATATCATCATGGAAGTGACTTTCGAAAGTCATTCAAAGCATCACCAACAGGCGGAGGTGGGTCTTCTTTGAAACTCATAGCATGTTCATATGCAGCGTCACTTATCGCCCATAGCACAATTTGGTGTACTGCACAATATTTTAGAAAAATCCTGTAAAACTTCATTAGTCCCATGATAAGTGGAGCTTTTTTTAACATTTTAACATACTCTGGAATTCAAGGAGTAGAGCCAAGGTGAGAGAGGAAAGGAAGAAAAGGGAGAGAGGTATAGACTAATAAAGGAGGTGGGTGGGGGGGGGATTTAGGACTCGAGCGTATGGGCCACCAGTAAAATAACCGATATGGCATTGAATTTTGTAGGCAGAAGTGAAGTTGACTGAAACGAGGCCAGTACAAGCCCTTATTCAATGGATCCGAATCGAACGCATTAGAAAAAATCTAGGCCAATACATGAAAGTAAAGACGAACGATCTTCAACTATAATTAAAATTTTACTACATAAAGGCAATGGGAAAAAACTTAAGGAATGCTTCAAGGTCAGCACTGCTGAAGGAAATTAAAATAACTGAAACAGATATGGTCTATTGAAACTCAGGCATTAATACCATAAAGCCGAAGAATGAACCATTGAAATCAATCCACCTTCTACTTATTCTCCTTCCACGATGGAAATCGTATATTTTTATGCAAAGGAAGAGAGTAACCCACTGTCTATTAGGCCCATAAAAGTTTGAAGTTAAATCTTCTTTTTGGCTATGTTCAGAATAATTATAATGCTTCCATACAAATGAAAAAGCGCCAAATCTTTTCAATTCTGCCATCAATTTGATATTTTGGAGATTTGCACTGTGATATTCGGGATAGCCGTGTTGGACTATATGATAAAATCCTTTCAATAGACACGGTGGCGTAGACATGGCTGACTTCCTTATTTCCTCAAGATTACCAAGTTGGTCCATCTAATCAGTTCCAATTGGCACATTAGAAATTTATGTGAAATTTATGGCGTTCTCTCATGCTAGTCCATTGGAGTTCTGTTTGTAGTTCCGAACGCGTAAATAGTTAAAAATCATTTCTGCTTTACTTTGTAGTAATGAAACTCTTCTAATAAAATCAATTGGAAATAAGCATTGATTTAGCTATTCGAAAATGGCGTGGGCTTTAAAATCTTTTGAGTAGAATACTCACAATACTTCTCTTATGTGGACAGTTTGATAGTACTTTTGTGTCACAGTGAAAGAATTGCATCAAGTTGGCATTGATTTATTGAACATCAACAAATAAGCAATATTATTATTATATCAAATGGCAGGCGTTTTGATTGTTATTATTAGCCCTTTAGTTGACTTCAGTCTTCAGAGAGGGGAAGGAACATCAAAGTGTAAAAAATTCAAGAGGGGGAGGGAACAGAAGAGTGTATCAAAGATGGAGGTAGATAAGGTGGAAAAAAGGTAGGATGAGTACTGTAAAGTAGTCGAATATGACTTGCAATGGGGTCATGGTAGTTTGAAGTCAACTGCCAGGTAATAGACTTTTTTGCCGTAAGAGTATACGTTTCCCAGGGTGCACACGTGGAGGTAAGTCTATCACACACCCCAATTAGCAATATCTATATTATGGTTTAAATTGTTTCAGATACGACGAATGCTGTATTGAGTTAATGTTCCAAATCTATGAAAGTGGAATTGATTTTAGCCAATTTGCCACCACATGATTTTTGTCGGAAGCTGCCAAGTCTACTTTAGCTGCAATGAAATGTTAATTAAAACATCTCACGTAGGTAAATCTACTCCTAATGCAAATTATGTTTTCACTCTCACGATTTAACTTACGTTACTGGTGTAGAAGTGGCTGAATGTAAAAAAATAATTCACCAAGCTCTGGATTTTTGCATTCTACTTAAATTGGCATATGATACATATGAATTGTCATTTTATAGCTCCAATTAGCTCATTTTCAAGCTGTGGATGGATGTGCTTTCCGGGATACCAGTAAAAGGCAAACCGATCAATTAAATTTTGACCACAGGAACCTGACTGTGGCTGACTTCCTTGTTGCCAAATGCACTTTCTTCGGCTATTCAAACAACTGTAACTGACGTGGTACACAAAGATATGGTCTAACATAGATGTTCCAGCATAGATGTGCTCTTTCATAGAACCACTTTACCAGAAAATTTAATTCCAGGTAAGGGGAATTTTGAACAGAAATATGAGCAAGAGCTCGCTTCATAAACATAATGCCAAACTAATTCTCAGGGCATATGAATGTTGAGAAATTTATCCAAAAATTTCGACTTTTAGGTTTAGTGCTTACAATATCGTTTTCACATTTTAGATATGCGCGCAGCATTGTAAGTGTCTTATGGAATACTTCTTTTTAGGTGCAATGGTACAATTTTTGAATTGGAATGGCAAATTTGCAGAAGCATTTGAAGTGAAAGCAATGGTAAATAACTACTCAATTGCTCACCGGAACAAAGCGCAAATTCTTATTTAACTTTCGATAATGACTTAGGCAATCGAGTTGTTCTTTTCAAGGTTGTTTTCCCGATCTTTAGGATTCGGTTAGATTTAATGAAAGTGCAGGTGATCAGTAGCATTACGTTGCCATCCATATATCTCCCATGATGAGAAACTGGAGTTATATAATCCACTAAATTAAGCCACCATGACTTAAACCACTTTCTAATGTTTTGAAGTTTGAGCAACCATGTTTTGTTTGGGCTTAGTTTTAGCTTCTGCTTATGAAAATGGAATCTGTTTTTAATTATTGTTTTAATTCAGTCACTCTATATGGGAAAAAGAGAATTAGATAACCAATCGCGAATAGGAAAGTTTTATTTCATTATGGGTATTTAGCCTGCTGCAAATATGGTATATTCTCAACTCTTCAAAATTGTTTTATCTGTAAACTTAAAAACTATTATTAGAAACCTAGTTGTGTTAATTATTGGTCATAAATTCAAGTGTATTGATTTCGTCTATTTATCTCTTTTCATATTCCAAATACTGAAAAAAATGATAGACAAGTAGGCTGTGAAACGCGTGCAATAGGAACGTGCATATACCATGAAACTGTTTGTATTTCCTTGTCCTTAAACTAAACTTTAAAAATAGTTGGGATTTGTGGGATACGACATCGCATAACGCGCTATCGCATGCACGCACACTAGGATCGGGAGGTGCGCCGTACAACTCACTGTCCAACAACCGTACAACCAGTGGCCAATCAGTAGCCTTCGTTTGTTTAACCTAAACCGCCATGCTGATCATGACTAAGCTCCCTGAGCGTGCACTTTACCCACAATATCCTTACTGAATAGACGTGTTGCGTGCTATACGTCTGTTTCCTCTACATCAGGGCTATAGCTTAGCAAATTCTAGAAGTCGAACTAGATGTAGGAGAATCTGCCACAGAGATTTCTGAGTCAGTCAGGCTTTTCTAGTTAGGAATCCGCTACATGTTCGAGATCTAGTTAGGAATCCGCTACAGATTTCATTGATGTTAGATGTTGCACGTGCGGCTCATTTTGGGTCTGTTGATGAGATAGATCCCAACGTCTAAATCTTCCTCATTATTAAATAAGAAATGTATATTTAAAGCAACAGGTAACTCCATTTATTTCATAGTAAAAATCCCTTCTGACGAAATAGTAATTTTTTCAATTATTTTGATTTATTAAATAATGACTGCTGTGTTAATTAGAACATTAATGCAGCTTTAAGACTGGCTTGTAGACAATTTGGGCATCGAATAGAAACCGCAAGAAGTAAAAGAATTTAAAATTTAAAATTTACACAAAGAATGTCATTTTCAAGACATTCTTTAAAAGTGCTTGAGAATAAACATTGCCATTTTTAACAGCTACAGTGAAGAAACATTTATAACAAGGGATGAAAGGGAGATTTTTTGTTTAGAAACTAGCTAAGAAATCGACAAAGTGTCCCTGAACCGTGAAGTTATCTAGTTCTAACTAAACCAATGAGACTCTCTCAATCCAATGGGAAAAGTCCATAATGCCAACTTAAGGATGGACATACAAGTTTCGATAAAAGTGTTGAATGTCATCCTTAGCCTTCTTTGTCAGTGGCCCAAGTGCGTCATTCATGGAATATCGTGAAATATGCGACCCATGAGGGTGCATTTTGAATTTATTTTTTGGGATAAACAGCTATTATAAAAATTTAATTGAACACACCAACATTAAACCACTTTTATTTGGCATTAAAATGATTGCTAGATAAATGAAGAGATTTATTCCATTTAATGATGGACAGTCTATCATTCACAGTTCTACATAAAATAATTTTCACGTTTCATATTACATCATTAATTATTTTTCAACTACTGCTCATAGCTTCCTAATGCATTGTTTCAGAGTTCCGAGGAAAAATTAACTTAGTGAAGGTGTCATCAACGTAGGTGAACCTATTTCACTCCTCAAAAGAGTAATTTGGGAAGAGCTTATACTCGTGCACAAAAGATGCAATTATGGAGTTTATTATTGTAGCTTCAAGATTCCGAAAACCTTCATTTTTCCCATGAATTTCTTGTTTGGTTACGGCTAATAAGTCTACATATACTCGAAGTCACTTCGTTGTGCTTGGGTTTATTTTTAATAATTTTTAGAGTAGTGTGTCATAACTCGATTTGGGTGAAATCGTTGGTACTCCTGGCATATATTTCTGGAAAATTTTGGCTGTTATGGAAAAAGATAACTCATTCTGAATAGATAATTAAAAATTTTATTTGCCTATTCTGTCTTTTATCGCACTTTAAGGACTCCATTGAATTAGTTAGAACATCCGATATGTTCTTCAAAACAATAAATAATTGCTAATGAGAACATAATATATGTTTATTTGTAATTAAATAAAATGTTTCATTCAGGGGGAAATAGGTAGAGCACTAATTATTGCCATATCATGGGCAATTGTTTGAATTTGAGCAGTTAAGGGTCTGATGAGGAAGTATGCTGGATTTGAATACCTCTTATTGACAGGAGTGTGGCATTAACCCTCGCCAGAGAGCCTTCATTGGATCAATTTCGTTTTAACGATTAAATGGCCATTGCGATTTTGTAGAAACTACATCATTTATACATCACATATACTATTATAAAAATTTGAATTTCATTAGGTGAACATATAGTTGATTTTGAACTAAGCCACAATTATACCTTCATCTTTGCAAAAAGCATTAAATGAAATACAAAAGAAACGAATTCAAAAAACCTTTTGTCTTATGCTTTCAAAACTTACGCATAATTTCATATTACATCGCCATTTTAAGAACTGGTCAACTGAAAGATAAACTACAATTGTCCACATAGAATGTCAACAGGCGTAATTTATCTAATCAAAATAAGTAAATAATCTTCTATTCCATCAGAAAACATTTTGCTGCGCAAGTTAAAGGGACAACACGTTGAAAATGAGGGGGATGGTAATGATGGTACCTATTTCATCAATGGACCTTGAACGATATGAATTTGCGGCTATTAATAGAAGCCATTGAGCATCAAAGAAACTCCGACAATTTTAAGAACAAGGAAATACTTGCTGTTTTATGGTATATGTACATTCATATTGCTTCCAGTTCACAGCCAACTTTATCGGCGTTTTTCAGCATTTGGAATATCAACCTCAGTACAATGTGTCAAAAGGACAATTAATAGAATGGAATAAAAAATTTTAAGAACATCGCACTATTGTACTCGTTTCCATGACATTTAACCTGCAATTATTCAATATTTTGGAAATATCAGTAAATTATATATCACACAAACCCTTATTTCAGGTTATGATTTCCTGAAGTTACAGTACTGTTTATGGCATTCCAAAAGTTATCTTCCATACATTGCTTACTTCAATTTCTAGTGTCGACTTAATGTAAGAAAAGTTTTAATTACATTTTCTAAAAACCGAGAGCTGTTATGAACGCTGGAATACCAATCAGGCCAAAATGGTGTGATTTAGCCGAAAGCCAAATACCAAAACCACTCAAACTGACTCTGGTTGCAGACTTTGTAAAAAACTGATTTGGTTAGCTGATTTCAACAAATATATATCATTGTTTAATGCTACCAAACGCATCTGCAAACACGAGGATGTGTGCGACGTGGTGTAGTGATATATGTCCTTTTCTAATTTCCGTTTTTTTCATATTTCCTAGTCATCCAAAATCATCGTGCGATTGAAGTCACTTCAAACAAATTGCATTGAGAATTTTAGTGTTAATAAAGCGTAGATAAGCTATTTTGTTTTATTTTTACACTTTTTCTGTTCAACGTGCCACTTACATCTCACACAGAGTATTGAGATGTATTAGTGTTGCAGCAAAATGTGGTAGAGACAATATACATGGCACTATAATCCACAATAGTCTCAAATTGCCTCATAATTATGATTTCTATGTTTAATGATGCAAAGCGTTTGAAGGGAGGGGGTTTACTAAACTTTCAGCTGGTTAAACGCCTATCATGAAACAAATCTTTAATATTCACAAGTGGTTTTCTAATTCCTTTATATCCACAAACAGATCAAATTTCCCTGGCAGGAGGTAAAATTAATTGCAACTACTTAGGAGCATCTGACTAAAAACTCAATTGGCAATTGGCATACATTCGAGTGTGAAGAAAACTTTGTTCTATCCTCCAGTATCTAACTCTCCATTACTTCAATCAGTTTTTTTGTGAAAACACTCATTCGACTGTCCTCTGCGTACCTATCCACACACACAGATACCACTAGACCTCGGCACTAAGGCATTATTCTCTTTCATTCAACAAGCATAACAACTTCAATTTTGCATTAAATGGAATTTTTTGGAGTTTAAAGCAATAGTGTGTATGGCTATTAGCCCATACTTCTAATGTATTTAATGAAATTGAAATATGTGCAAAACAACGTTACTGTTAGTCAACATTCAACTAAGAGGCATATAAAATAATGTAGACAGAGTAATATATCAGTGTTCAACATAAAGAGACGGGATATGGGAGAAGAATGCTACTGATGAAGTTGAAAATTCTGTTGGGAAAGAGCCAAGTGTCTTCTTTACGGAGAGAGAGAGGTGGTCCTGAAGGTGGATTTAATGAAATGTAAAAATTGGCCGTTTCAAACCTATTCGGATTGTTTGTATAGACAGGAAGCTGCTGCCATTGCTCCAATTTCAAGTAGGGCAAGAGCAAGAACCACTGCTCCAGCAGCAAGCAAATTTTTCTTTATCCATGCATAAATCACATCAATACAACCCTAGTAAAATATGAAAATGTGTAACAATAAACAAACTGTTTTCTTATCTTTCGGACACATTGATCCATTCCCTCCGTCTTGTTTACACCAGTCTTGTGGCCCTCTAGCACCGCAACACCCAAACTAAATATGCCAATAAAAGTAAACCGATTCATTACCGCATTTTGTATTTTCTGTAAGACCTTTTGGGTAGTTGGATTTGAGCCTTTTGCAATGCTTTCAACCATTTTTCCGAGGTAATTTTTAAGGCCTTCTTTAAACTAAGTTTACGTAATCAATGATAAATTGAAATCGTTACCTTGGCTCTGTAGACAAACAGCAAGATGCCTCCAGCTATTTCTGCCAAAATGATTAAGCCCATTCCAATGGCGAACTAGAGGATAGAGGTGTTATTGAGAAAACAAATCGTATCTTACCGCGAGGAGTAAACTGCGTCTAAGTGTAATGGCCGCAACGAATCCCAAAATTGCGACGGCTAGTAAAATTACTCCGACAATGGTGATGAAGACAGGGACCAACTTTTCCGAACCGGAAAAGCCAAACGAATTTGATTGAATGAGAAGGAATATTCCAAAAGCAACCATAACGATACTGGCAATCTCACCTTCACTAGAAGATCACAAAAAGGCAACTTACAGAGGCGATAATGTTGAACAAAATGAGGGCTATTTTCAAGCACCACTCCGATACCTCCATGGTGGCAGATATTTTGGATAAAACTGATAAATCGCGTCGCACTGTTTTAAATTGTCTTTTTATACTTACCTGTTCTTTTAATCGACCTAAATTCCACCAATCAAACAATAGTATCGATTGTATTTTTTGAAATTTCTAATTGGCTAATGATTTTACTAATGCCACTTTTGATCGAAATTTCGTATCTCAAACTAACCCCCAGCTCTAATTTTGTACTTATAACATGTGTCTTTTATTTCTTCTTTAATTTCCCACAATTCGCAGTGCTCCTCAACTACCTTAATGAAAATTTTCCAACTCAATCAAATGAATAAGCTCGCTTCTCCTGTTTTGCTTAAAACAATAAATTATTATCTTTCTAATGCTGCATCTTCCGCATTCTATATCACGATATAATTGGAACCATCTTTAACAGGCTTTTAACCTCATCATCAATTTCGTTCATCTCATTTCCCTTCCCATTAACACTTGAATATTATTATATCTGACAACTATATTTTAATTAAGATCTTAGTAGATTACATTAACAATGATAACGTCTATACAGTTCATCTATTGTGCTATCATTACAAACGAATGAGGTTTGGGATGGTAATTTTGAATGCTGTCTATTAGCCTCTACCAATTTTTCATTCGAGCGTATATTAAATAGGAAAATGAATATTTGTTTGTTTTCTGCATCAAAATAGGCCACATTTTCTCAATTATGTACCCTATGATTTTCTCTCACTTCCCTTACATTAAGATCATGATCTTAATATAAAGAGGTTTAATTCGTAATAAACGCGTGCTATTTCAATCTCATTCAATGATCAATGAATGAAACTTTTGTAACGAAAAAATGAAAATAAGCCTAACTAATCAATCTTGCCAACTACTACGGGATAACTGATGACCAGTAGTCAGTGCTGGGGTTTTTTTAAAGCAATGTTCCAATATGACTGAGCTTGAAGTAGCAAGATAATTGAACACGCTCACTCTTTTTCATTTTAATTATTTGTTATGCATTTACATTCAGGTATAGGAATGTATGCCAGTTCACTCTATCTTGTTATTGTTATCAGACCCCAGTTCCTGCAATAATTTGACACTGACAAAATTTACAATGGCTGTGCCTAAGAATGAACCCTTAATGGCCTTCGCATAGTCATTCATCATTTTGATATGCAAACATTTGTGCTATACTCATGACTCCTTAATTGTTTGCCGAGGGAAGCGCAGCTCGACTGTAGGTAGACCATTAGGCATCAATCACATAAGGAGTTCTGAAGTACTTCGAGCCACTAGGCTTCTCTCTCCTGCATTCTTTCAACAAATGCTACCGCATTTGAGTTAGTTGTATCAGTAAATACATTGAGGAGCAATGCTTTGCTTAAGTTTGACGATGAACATGAAACAGACGTCATCCCATCCTCAACCCCCCCCCCCTCCCCCCAAAAAATGTGTTTGATACTATCCTACCTGAACACATACATTCATTTGCGTAGACTCCATCACACTCAACTATGTGGCTATTGTTATCTTACTTGAACGCATACATTCACTTGAGTTCAGAAAATCTGAATACATAACAATGGAATCTGTTTGTAACTGATATGCTATTTTCAGTAGAAACAATAAACTTTGTAAAGAGCCCTAATACAGTTTAAATTCTCTCTTGCATGCAACTGTGGCATAAAATAGACATGAAGAAACTAATTTACGTAATATTATAAAATAAATGCAGGACATTGTGCTTTCAATTCACTTGCGTACAGGAATTCTAAATGTTAGGAAATAGGATTTATTTGTAACGGTTATATTTATCAGTGGAAATCATTGATTTACATAGAGCATTAAGCATAACCTAAAAATACGATAAAATAAGTACACTGAATTGCATTTTCAAGCCATTTTTAAGAGTTGTTTAAGAGTAATCATTGCAAAGAGCATTCATAATAAAGTAAGAGAGGGAGGATCTTAAAGGGGAAGTTTTTTGTTCAAAAATTCACCAACAACCCGATAGTCCCTAAAAAGATTCATTGAACCATGAGACTATCTAGTGAAAACGCAACTAATGAGAATAACTTGATCCCAATAGCTCCGATTACTAAGAATACTGCCGAGCCGAATAGGAAGAATCCAAAATGCCCAAGTATTGAAGGACATATTGGGCTCGAATTACCGTTATAAATGTGTTGAATGTTATCAATAAAATTTTTTTGCATTGAACCATGCTCGTCATACTTGGGTATAAATAGAAGCATTATAAAAATTAAATTAAATATTTCATTCATAAATGCACTTTTGAGTTGAAATAAAATGACTGTTGTTTAAATGTGAAAAATATTCGTTCACAGAATTCAGTATCTGCCTGTCATTCTCATACAGTTCTAGAATATTTCAAGGGCATAACCGCATCATGGTAATTAAAGATTTTCACATTTCTTATTACAAAACTAATAATTTCCTAGTTGCTCCGTAAAGCTGTTTTAGAGTTTAAGGAAGTAATTCAAATTAGTGAAGGTGTCATAAAAATAGACGGACCAGTTTCATAGCTGTAGAGCTACTACATATGAACCTTATATGGCGACCACATAAGTTGATTGACCGCTCAAATGCAAAGACCGTCGTATCCTTGAACTCAACTAATCTAGCTCTTCTAGCGAAATAATAACTTCAAGATACTGGAAATGTACACATGAATTTTCTGTGTGCTTGTGGTCATTAAGTCTCCATATAAACTTAAACTCATTTCGATGTGATTGGTTTTATTTTAAATGATTTTTATTTGTATTAAGTCGTGGCTCTTGATTTGCTCAGTATTCCTTGCTTTATTCTCTAGTCATACTCATTTTATATATATACACCTAAAGTGAAAAAGTCTCCTGGCTAAGACAGTATTCATCCGGAATTTCTAATTAGAATGGGGCCAAACGACAAGGTAACCATGTTGACACTTTTCAACAAAATCTGGAAGACCAGTCTTGTAGCTACACAGTGGAAATTTGTCGTAGTAATACTACTACTATAAAAGAGCAAAGACCCTAGCAACTTTGACAACTAAAGGCCTATCTC